CCCCAAAACCCCAAAACCCCAAAACCCCATATAAGTTCATGCCAACTGAATGTTATAAGTAAATATTTAATATCCCACAAATCGTAAGTACTTGCATAAACTTTGTTTTGCCGAAAACCCCCCAATCTAAAATTGCTCAATAGTTGTACACACAATGAACAACTCCACTCAATTGTTCCAGTCTTCCTCAGCTACTTCTCAGAAGAAGCTCTGTTTATTCCAAGAAGATGTGTATCTTGGACAAGACCCCTTCGCCCACTGGGATGACCACGAAATTGAATACTCAGGTGAGTGACCGTGGCCTTAAAAATATTTTTAAATCTATGGCTGCCTCTAATTTTGATGAAAACACTCAATAACATAATAGAATCTTTTTAATAGAATCTTCTATCGTTCTTTTATCACAATTCTTCACATTTTGCCAAACTGTAAACATACACTTCATTAAACCTGTCATCCTCTCTTTTGTAGGAAAATTCAGGTTGGATTTATTCCTTCGTCTAGTTGATTATTAGGGTTTTTGATTTTACTCAGATTGGCATACCAGATCTTAGCATAGTTGTGGGTAGTAATAATAATTTTAATAGTACTTTTGCAATAATTAAATTCCTCCACAAAATTATTGGCTTCTAACTAAGTATATAGAGAGCTTGATCCCGTCATCTGAAAACACTCCTGTCTTATCTGAGGATGAAATTCAGGGGATCTGTGGTTTCCAGCATGATGCCAATTCGTATCCTTCTCGGGCCGTAGAGGTCAAGCTAGCCCAGCCTTTTGTAAACTTAACTGGGAATGAAGTTCAAAAATCTAAAATTTCTAATTTACCAGAATTAGCTAAGGCAGAAGAGAGCGAGACTCCTCAGGATGGATCACGAGAAAATGTCAGCTCTAGAGAAAACACCTACACGCCTGGAGAACACTCTGCTAGACCCGATGTGGTCTGAAAAACAATCGTCAGAGGCGTCAAGAGGTACTTCTGTCAGTTGCTCTGAAACGGGAATCCTCTCATTCAAACTTTAACTTGAGATGAAGGAGTAGAAGTTCTTCGAAAAATTGATGAGGTAAGTGTCTCTATTGATCGATACACTATTCGACCTTATTGCCTGCTTATAATTTATATAGTACTGAGATGTAAACTTCAAGCCAAACTCAGAATTCACTGATGGTTTTGAAATTCTTTCTATAAATCAACTGCTACAATCTAAGGAGTACCACAAAAGCTCTGAACTGACTGCTGAGTTGCAGATGTACTACCGAGTGAAGATCTTGCTTGCCTGCATGGTTTTGAACATTCCTTTGCGTAAGAAGTTTGCGATTCCATATGTAAAGACAGCCTTCAACCTGTTCTACAACTGCATCTACAAATACTCTAAGAAGAAACTTATCAAATTGCTGAAGTTCAAGCCCTTTGCAGTCATCTTCGAGCAATTTGTCAGCGAAGGCCAGATGGAGAGAATGCTAGAGAATGACGTCACTTTCTCATCAAACCTGGAGGCCTATCAAGAGAACTTTCAGGACTTGTTGACCATCGTGAGAGCCTAGTTCCCCCAACTAATAACTTAATTTACTAACATTTTTCAAAACTATCTTTCCTAAGAATTTTCTGGTCAGGTTGCGATTTTATCGTAGAGAAATCTAATAGCCGAGTTTAGGGTAAGTATCTTGTGGGAAGATAGAGAGGCTTGCATTATTTATAATCAACTAATGCATTGAAGCTCTAGGATCTCAAGAGATCCATAATGATGCCATCAGAAAATTCAAGATCCACAGTAAGGACACTTAGCTCAAACCTCATCTTCAATTGAGAGTTTGTTAGAATTTATGCTTGCTCTTTTGGTATGAAAGTATTCTTCAGTTTGGTTCTCTCATTAATCATTGTGATCAAGACTCTAACAATGAGATAAGCTGCTTGATATCTTCCTTTGTGCTATCCCTCATTATGCTTTGGAGTAAATAAGTTTTAAGAAAATCTACTTTTAATGCATTATGAATTTTCTGTTCTAGGTTTACCTTTTATCGCTCATTGAAGCAAAATTTATGAGTCTTGGATTTCGACTATAAATAAAATTATTGTATATGCTAAGAGGAAAATAAATAAGATCAAACACAGCCTGTTTTCCTCAATTCAATAACCAACTTGGCTGTCCAGATAAGATTTTTAGCAGAAATCAACTAAATTTGCAAAATTCAAATTAGAGTTAAACTTAAGTTCTTCTACTTAGTCTCAGACAGCTTGAGAAGTTAATTTTGTAGCTGTAGCCGCTGAGGTTTGGGAGAAAGCGTAGCCAGAATATTCATAGAGGAAAGATGTCACAGGAAGTAGAAAGACATATTTTGAAACTCCAATATGAATGCTTGATGTCGTTGAGATATGATCTTGAAATTTGAACTATCCAAATAATTATCTGGTTCTCAAAAATTAGAAAGCTATTGAAAGACCCAGAGGGTTCAAATATAATAATTAACTTACAAAGACTTATTAAGACCTATCCTTCTCTGCTAATGATTAAAACTTGGTCGAATTGTGAATTCAAAAATCTCTCACTAGCTTTTGAATTTTAGTAGACCAATAAATTTAATAAACTTTATAAATTTTCCAAACGTCCAGAGAAGCCGAAACATCAATGAAATAGGTTTAATCAATAACATGAGTCCTTCTCCAAACAATACTTGAGACACTGGATTTTATACATCTGTGGGGTTGACAAAGTTATGCAATTCGTGAACAAAATAAAAAATTACTCAGTCTCAGAAATGAAGAATCCCATTTGTAATATTTAGACTAGAGCTATTAACAAGTGCTGACTCCTATATTTTCTCCTAGGGTTTCATCGAACTACTCTCCGAAGGATTTCAACACTAAAATAGCAAAGTTGGAGAATTCTCCGCACCCATAAAACTTAAATTTGGATAACCAGCAGCAAAATGTGTCATAATTTATTGGGAGTAAATATCTGGAGATCAGTCCTAATGATTATTAGTCACCAACCAGAGCTTAAATTTATATTTCTGGCTATAAGTAGGCCCTTCTGAGAGTCTCTAACTTCAAAAATCCTACTGCAAGCTCTGGAAGCTCAGATATTCGGAGGATCCAATCAGTCACAAAATTTCATACTGATGCTACCATTTCTATAAAAATGAATATATCATTGAGCAGAGAAGTAAGTTTAAGATACAGAGGCTTCTCAGAACGTTTACAAGGATTCAGAGATCTTAGTGCTTATCTGAAGATATGCAAGACAGAGTAATTAGAGCTTGTGATATATGCGATGCTATAATTCCTACTATCCATTAATAGACTTTTATCATATCTCAATTCCTTGAGATAAGGCATACTCTAAGAATAGAGGTAGAACAAGTCTTATAGAGCTTATGCGAGCATGTGATATTATATCCCCACTCTTTGAGACACGTAGTGACTTTTTAAACCCATAAAATGTGATAATCAGAAAGAAAATATGCTTCTCAACTACCAATACGAGGTCTGGGGTTTTGGGGTTTTGGGGTTTTGGGGTTTTGGGG